AGTTTGGTTTTTCACAAATTGTTCTCCAATGGCCTAGATCTGGAGCTGAAGTCGCAGCCTTTGCACCCCCGTTTCAGCTTCTTTGTGTTTTTTTTGTTCCTGGATCCCGATCTGTGAAAGCTCACCTGTTGCCGTTGGCCACCATCGTTACCATTGCACTTGCCACAAACATTGTGGCTTTTCACCACTTTCTTCTCTTACACCAATTTAGGATCCCCAAAAAATAACCCCACAAATTCATAGTATCGAGCTCCAAATGATCGTTGCTAAAAACCCTTTTTTTCCTTACTTATGTCTTTATTTCTTTATCTGTGTTATTATTCTATTTCTTGCTCTGTGTGTGGGTGGTGTTTCTGGGTTTGTGGTGATAAATGTTAACAATTGGCTACTTAGGTTTAGTCTAGGACTCGACGATGGTAGGTTTGTAGTTTCAAGTTATGTGTGGCTGCCGCAGCTCAATTTTTTATGAATGATGGCAGTTTTTGAGTTGCGATAGGTGATTGTGATAATGCGTTTGGTGTATGGCGGTTCCGGCGCCGAACATTAGAAAATGGTATGCTTGTTCTGGCAGCTAAATTGGTGATAGGTGGCAGCAGAGAGGCTTAAAGGGTGGACTGTTTGGTAATGCTGTGGTAGGCTGTTGGCTTATGGGAATTGTGACAGTAGGGAACGAATATGAAGACTTGGTACAAAGGATTTGCTGGAGTTTGCTGGGAATTTACCGATCGGTGGGTTGATCTTTGCTCGATTTATCTCTGCTTGTTCATGTCTCCACTGGTGACTCGTGTATGTTTATATAGGGAGATCAACCCAATTGTGATAAGGGATTAGATTAAACTGGGATTTATCTTCAATAAATTTTAAAAATAATCCCAGTTTTATCTTCAAAAGAGTTGTGTCTAAATCCAAATTTTCAAAATTAAAGTTTATCTTCACTGTTTATTCGAACTCTTTTTTTTTTTTTTTCTCTTTTTTTAACCTTTCCAAAACACTATATATTCGAAGTAATAAAAAAATAACAACTAAAACAAGAATAAAGATAACAGGAAAAAAAAAAAGGGAAAATCAAGCCCTTTGGTCCAAATCAAATTCAACTACTCACTTGAAACAAATTAACCGATCAGGCCCTTAATTTAAATTACACTCCCAAAACCCAATTAAAAACCCATAATATTCTTAATGGGCCAAAAATGAGTTACGAGTTAATGGGCCAAAAGTGAATTACAAAATTTGACAGTAACTCAAAAGATTGGTGTTAAGTCATGAATTTTAACTATCAACCGACACCCAACTCTTTGATTTACAAGAATGTAAAGTTTAATTTGGTTGGTTTATATAATCATTATTAAAAAAAATTATATTTAAAAATTTTAAAATTTAATTTCAATAGCTTTAATCTCTTTATCTATCTTCAAATTATGATCTTTTTTATTTGAAAAAAAATCTTCAATTTATACCAATAGTTTATATAAATAACATTATGACAATTTTGTAAATGGGCTTTTGGAAGTTGAAGATTTTCTTCCATGAATTTGTGAGGCTATAATTTTTATAGTGTCTTCATTGCTATTGTTCATGTACCAATTCAAGGTTATTCATGAGCTTTACCAATATGCAAACAGGATCGAATAATACTAGTAAATCAATATATCATAGAATAATTCGAAAATTATTTCACGAAAAAGTTATATATCTTTTTCTCCAAAATTGTACCTTGGTTAAATTTATAAAGGAGGAGTCATATTCATAATTTGTGTGGTATTTTTATTTTTTATTTTTGTAAATAGCCAAAAGTTATCATCTTTTGCTCATTGTCAAACTAGTTTTGATATTGTCAACTCGGATGCCATTATGTAAGAGTTGGCGAACTTCCACTACCGAGAATGGACTTGTTGTGCTAAGTATTGGAGATGTATCAAACAGATCATATGAAAGGAGTTTAAAATTTTAAACATTTTGGTGGGTAAATGATTTGCAAAAGCAAAACAAATTGAGGGACAAAAGTATAGAAGTTGAAAAGATTGACCCCAAGAACAATTTTTTTTTCAAGTCAGTCCAAATTTCATGTTCTTTTTATAAAGGGCAAAAATATTTAACTACAAAATCCAATGATATGGTGATTTTATTATTTACCAATTTCTATGGCTATTGATGATTAGACTAGGAGTGATGTGTCCAAAGTGGTGTTATTGTTTGATGAAGATATATCTAATCTTTTGTAAGCTTTTATTATATTTAAAATGATAGAATATACGTATGTATTTTTATAAAAAAAAAAAAAAATTGAATATTTTTTTAATAAGTTGGTTTATTCTTCTTATCCAATGTTAATTTCAATATCAAAATAGATAACATTAAAATAATCAATAATTATATAATTTATTAATAAAATATTAAAATTTTAATTTTAATAATCAAGTCGTAAATTTGACAACCCGTATAAAAAAAAATTATGGCAGGTAATAAATGTAACTTGGACATGTCTTTACTCCATGATCTTTAGGTAAGGTAGTTTCAGACAAAAAAAAAAGAAATAATTGCTAGCACAAAAGGCAATCATGATAATAGTTTCCATGGGGCAATCTAATACCTTACCTTCTTCGTAAAGCAAAAGTGTATTTTCGTGTGGTTTTGTCCAACTGAGAGTGTTGACTCTCTCATGGGTTGTTCAAAAGAAAAGAAACCCACAAGGAAAATGCAAGAGGAGTTATGATACGTGGTCCTGCAACAGAAAATTTGCAAAACTGGTGAAGGATAGGTGGAATAATCAGCCAAGCCATTGGAAAAAAGGAATTTGTGGTGGAAAACCAAAGCTTTTTTTTTTTTTTGTTCTTCTAAATTCTAACACCAAAATGCATGCCAAAATGACCAAAACCCAAACCCATCATCATCTCCAATACAACAAGTCTGCTCCATCCATGCAAGGTAGCAGAAGTTCGAGGTCATTGCCTTCTAGAAACTCCTCCATGATTACAGAGGAATTTTTTGATGTCAAAAGATGGTAGAATACTGAAAGAACAATATTTGGTTATCCCAATTGGGTGACATTATTTCATTGACTTTCAATCTAATGAATTATTCTCAACAACCACAACTAATCCCAAATTTAGCGACTGTTTGGGATTCAAAAATAAAATTTTAAGTTTCTTTCATCATTCATATTTCATAACAATGACAAAAGAATGTGACCCTCAAGAATCCAGCAAAACCCCAATATATTCTTTTCACCCTTTGCCATTTTGTGGTTGGCTGTTTAAAAACACCTCCCCCGACATTCTCGTTTATGTACCATAAAGCAAGCTTGTCTTTCTTTTGGAACATTGATCATGGTGCTGGCCACCGAAATTTAGGTGTCTGCTTTTGATACCTTTTTTTTTTTTTTTAATATTCGAAGTTGAGGGATTTAAATTTTAATAATTAAAATTAAAATTTTAATATTTTACTGTTGGCTTCCACCCTAATCTTTAGAGAGTTAAGGATATAATGCATGTCCACATGATGGATAAGTGACCACGTTTTGGTTTATCTGTCTAATTCTGAGTTAATACAGATCACTAATGTAGCATTCAAACCTCGGAAACTTTTTCCGCTCTGTGAAATAATGCCAAAGGATTTATCAGTATTTCTTAGTTGTCTTCATTTAAATTTCGCAGGTACAAGGGGGTGGAGCCAAAGAATTAATTTTACTCTTTAGCAAGGATACCCTTTACTTCCATGGCTTCTGATAGTCCAATGAAGAGCCTGAATAAGGGTACCTGATGCCTAAAATTTTAGTGCCATCTCTCGGGAAAGTTTTGTGGACCAAATATTAATCCCAAAGGACCAAGGGGACCATGGTCATCGCTAAAGAAGGGTATGAGGGTCCTAGGACAAAATGGGTTACTATCCTTTGGTGACAGAAGGTATCAAGCATGCCAAGTCCAAGCTTGCTAAAAAGCTTGTTGGAACTTGATTTAATGCTGATGGAACAAAGCATGCGTGTTCAAAATTGTAACGAGCTATCCATGCGCAATAGTTTTCATAGCCATCCACAATTGTAAGCTAATCAAACTTGGTTTATAAAGCAAAGGATTAATGTAATATATGACCCATGTACTTTAAAAAATTTTCGAAATGGTACATCGACTTCTAAATTATATAATGTGAAATATATATGTAATATCCTTTCGTATATCAATCCACTACTGAGACTAACATCATTAAGGGCTGAAAAAAATTTTGAGTTTAAAAAAATGCATTTAAAAATATTGTAAGAAAAACATGATTAAAAATTTTAAATGTTTAATATTATTATGAAAAAATTCTTGAATAATTAAAATATCTAAAATATATAAAATATTAAAAATATAGAATAATATAATAATTTTATCTTTCAAAGGCACCTTTTTTCCCCTCAAAAGCGCATCTTGAATAACTCTTTAGTTTGAGTTATAAAATTATATTTTTCAACTAAAAAATCTTTTTTTTTTTTGTTTTTAATATTGAGATCAGATCAAAAACGTTTTTTGATAACAAAAATTACTTTAAAAAACAACGCCAACTTTGGCCTTAGAAAAGATGACGACATGACTTTTAACCAATCATATAATGACATGTTGCATAATAATTGTCACATCATCCCTGAAAATTTTTTCAATTTGCTTATGTGATGCACACGTTAATGTCATATATCATAATTTTAAAAATATGAAAGAAAAAAAAAAACTCAAAACCTTCATTTTTTTAAAATAAATATATATAACTCTCTATTTTTCAAAACTAAAAATGAATTTTTTTTTAAGTACAAGGATCAAATATAACTTTATCCCAAAGGAAATTTAAATAAATAAATAAAAAGTAACATCGTGGATAACAATTACTCTGCAGCAAGAAGATGAAGAAATTTTGTTAATTTTTGGCCTTGAAAAACAACCAAGCTGAAATGATACATTATCTTCCGAATAAAGATAAAGATGCTTAATATATATATATATATATATATATATTCTTACTGGCATTATTACTGGATTGAATACACATCAATGTCCTACATTCACATTCTTACTGGCATTATTAAGATTAAATTTTGATTACCATCCTGAATCTAGTCTAGAGGAAGTAGATGAACAGTTCTGCAACTCAGAACTAAAATATTATGCTTTCTCATATGATGGAAGAACTCAGTAGAAAGGGGAAAAAAGAAGAGACATGAAGGAAGTCAGTTTCTCTATGTGCTCTTACAGGCATAAATCAATAACGAGAATTCAATTCTGTCTTGATCTTTCTGCTCCAACTTCTCCTCCAACCAAAGCTGGCTATCCAATCCACTTCTTGTCCTGAACATGAACACAGCAGAACCAGGGGCAGGATTGAAGAACCAGTCATGCACATCCCACATCAGATCAACTGGCAATCCATCAACAAATATTGTCTGGTTTCCTCTAAAATTCCACTGCAGTCTCTTTACGCTAATCACTGTCTTCTGATCGATACACACTGATAAAACTGGATGCTTTTGGCTTTCATGTTCTCCACTACATCTGATCAAAATATCATGTACAATGCCTGTATCACAGAATTGAGCCTTGGTGGAATAAAGTGTATTGCCTGAACAATGTTCTTGCCGAGCTATGACTGAGACTTTAGCAACTGTGGCGGTAGTCTTCAACTTCTTGGTGACAGCTTCTTCAGCCATATTACCTAGAATAAGGCCTATCTCTGAATCAACCATGACCAGGACATAGAATCCATCAACCGGTTCAGGTCCTGCATCATACTTAGCAGTAGAAAGATCCCAAAATACTTCGATCTTCGAATGACCAGTTTCAATCACTTTGCTGCCCTTCTTCTTCTTGAAAAACCTCAAATTCGTGTTGAGCTTGAAACATGTTGAAGGGTCATCACCAAATTTTATGCTTAGCCCTTGACCAGTTTGATTCTTGCACCAAGTGACTTTTATCAATAGCTGCTTCCCAGTTGAAAGAAAGACTTTGTAAATAACTGTGACTGCATTCTGGACTGAAGGAACTAGGCTTGGAGAGATACAAGCGTTGCTTGAATAGCTAGAACATGAATGAGAAACATTTACTGCGTTTTCACTGAAACAAGAAACAATTATATCGCTCATTCTAGTAGCTAGAGAACAATAATAAAGATATGATATATTGAAAACTGCAAAATTTGGTTTCTTGTTAGGAGTTCGTGACAGAAATGGAGAAAGACAGATTTAAAGAAGAAATTTATGTTATAGAAATAACAGGAAGACAGGCAGCAGCAAGGGAATTCAGGTTTTCTGACAGGTCCATATTTGTATTAAATATGAATCTCTCTATCTACCTCTCACGTTATATAATCTGCAATAAGAAAGGAAAAGTAACAGAAGGGAGATGCAAGAAATTATAATAAAAACTCAAACAAAAAGAAAGGGGAAAAAAAGCAGAAATAGAAGTTGGGTTGTTGGACCTGGTCTGAATACGAGCAATTGTCGTGACATGATCATGGATGCTTTTAATTCCCTACCGTTGGATTTCGTGATTATGAGTATTAGTCAATGTTACACTATATTAAGGTGTAAATACTATATTATAAATTCTGAATTTTAATTCAGTTGATTAGAATTTAAATTCTAATAAAAAAACTTTTTGACGGAGATTTTTTTTTTTCCTCCAAAACTCTTTCGTTTATTCATCACTCTCTTGAAGTATAGAAATTTATTGAAGGATGACCCTGGTAAGTTTTAGAAAAGTTTTGGGGGAAGAGAAAACAGGAGGATCTGGAAAGATGGAATGTGGGTATTATGGGAGAGGATGAATTTTGAAGGCAGTGGGATGATTATGAATTATTTCTTGTCCCCTTTTCTTTGTTTATTTTTTTATTTTGAAATATTTTAAAATTGTGCCTTATTTTTTAAAATATTTAAAACTTTTATTTTTTATATTTTTATTTTTATATTAAAAATTATAAAATTTTAATTTTATAAAAAAATTAAATTTAAATATTAAATATATTAAAATTAAAAAAAATTAAAATTTCATAAAAATCAATGACAAAGAAGAAGGTTAGACCCACAAAATAAATTTAGCCACTACGGTCTAGACCGACCAACTGCAGCTGCTTCCAACACACCTATGATTAAAATCAAGGCATATGATGTAATAGCAAGAAAAACTTTACCTTTTTTTATTTTCTTTGTATATTTTTCCTCTTATTATTGAATATATTGACAATGGTTGCTTCTAATCGTTTAGTGAACTTTCCAGTGCATTTTTTTATTGTCATCTTACTATTAAGGAAGATCGATGGTCAGGTTTCTCGGTATCGCACAATTCATCTTCTAAACTTGGACCTCCTCACTTACACAGACAATTAGCCTGACATCCCTGCTGTTGTCCCTATCAACGTAATCTCATCATAATTTAATTTAACTGAAATATTTCTTTTGTCTTATTTTCTTTATTTATTTTTTTAAGATATTTCAAAATTATATTTTTTTGAATGCTTAAATTTTTTTAATATTAAAATTATATAACTTTAATTTTATAAAAAATTAAATTTTAAAATTTAATATGTTAAAATCAATTTTTTTTTTTGAAATTTCATAAAAATTAATGTACGACAAATAATATAAAACGAAATGAGTATTAGATACAATTCACTTCAACTTATGTGAACCTCCTTTGAATTTTATATAAATTTTTAATCAATTGTTATTTACTTACATCATATTATTATCTTATATCTCACATATATATATATATGATAAAAAGTGATCCAAATAAACTATTCTAAACCCTTTATCCTTAAATCCTTTGAATACATTCTGCAATTCATCTTCTTCCTTCTTAATTCTAAGCTCATACATTTGGCTGATTTAAATTTCAATACACGTCTCGAAAATTAAACTTCGACCTCACTTGGCAGTGTTTTCTTTACTATAAATCCAAACCGCTTCCAACTCAGTTTTCAATTCATCTTTCAACTCACCTCTACCTAAAATACCCTCAACAAAATATAGGAATCAACTAACAATAAAATAGTGTCACTATTTTAATTAGAGCTGGAGCCGGTCTACTTGTTATATCCTTTAATATAAAAATAAAATTAAAAAAATATCACGTGTTTACAGTTAAGAAGACGATGGCCAGCAGCCTCATGAAATTTTTAAGGGTTTTGGTCAAGAGTCAAGAGTCCTTCTCTCCTAACAGTCATTTATGAGCTCGATTCAAAGAATTTAGATATAAAATGCAACTTTTTAATGCGATGAAAGTCTGGAAAGTTTCAAACAAATTGTGACTCTTCTAATTTTTCATAAAAAATTAAAATAAATAAATAAATACCTTTAATGAATTGAATGCTTTAAAAAGTTCAAAGAACTGAAAAAAGAAAAGGAGTCGCATGTGGGTTTTATGTCATCATCAGGTTTATGATCAATGTAATTAAGAAAAGTTTTGAAAGAGAACGGATAAGGGGAATCGGCATGGAAGAATCTGTCATGAAAATATAAAACAATTAAACAGTAGAATTGGTAATGGACCCCAATCCCCAAAAGACTACTGGCCCCAGGGCATGTCCTCCAATTTGGTCAAGCAAACCAAAGTTGAGTCTGTTTATGGTAGGTTATGCTGCACTACAGAGACACTGAATCCAATCAAAATACGTAGGTTAAAGGTCTAACTTTTGGCCTTGAATTTGAATTTGACTGTTGGAAAAATATATCAAACTGAGTCAATATTTCAAAAATTCGGCTGAAGACATTGCATTCAATAAAGTTAATCGCACTAATTAGAGAGCTGCACAAATTGAGACGGATTCATTGCAATTAGACCATTTTCAGCAGGCTTTCCCTCTAGATTTTGTGTAAAAAAATTTTAACATTTCCCTCTAAACGTGTTTCTAACATGTAGTGGCAGGGAAAGATTGGAAATGAAGTCAGAAAAGGGCAAGTAATTAATAATTTTAAGCGTCTGTTTGGCAGTTGTGATATCAATTCCAAACAATTTTTGAAACAAAGTGGTCGTTGCTGCGTTAGAAGACAAAGTTTTGGTCTGACTTGAACTTCAATTTGCTTGAATGGCCACGGGAAGAAAGCCACCACCAATATTAAAAATTCAGGGTCAGCCATTGAAAGTCCTTCCCCTAGCCTCGTCCAACAGGCCATGATGCCAACATATTTATAAAATAAAAATTAAAAAAAAATCTATTACCTCAGCAAATTCCATGTCCTCCATTGACAGAAAAAAAAAAAGAATGCTATAAAAAAATTCATAAATCCTTCCTCTTCAATATCTTCTTCATAACCCACTGATCAGCAAATAAAAAAAAAATCTATTACCTCAGCAAATTCCATATCCTCCATTGACCAAAAAAAAAAAAAGAATGCTATAAAAAAAATTCATAAATCCTCTCCTCTTCAACATCTTCAAAACCCATTGACCAGCAAATCATTCATTTTTTTTCCTGGTAAAACTATTAATCAAATGTAACAGGCATGTTAAACTTTCAGTTTTCCAAGCTTATCTCAATTTAAAATGACAATTATAATAATACAATTTCGACCCTAAAAGGCCTTTGACAATGTCAGATATTAACATAGAAGAGTACTGCAGCTGATGATATAGAGGCCCTGGATGGTACACGAGGCTAATGAAACAAGTATGAGACAAACAAGCTTCAATGCTATTAAATAACTATTAGTTTAATAATGTCTTGAAGATTCAATGTACAGGCAAATCATTGCAAGTATCTTTCCGAGAAATGTGGGATCTATACATATTCACAAATGATTCATCACCCAAGGTTGATCTAATTGATATAGACCATCTCCCTAGATTGGCAGTGCAGTTTTTGCACTGGATAATGACTATCGGTAGGTGCATCAGGGAAATATACAACGCTGATTCTCCCTGCATCATGATGGAATGATCACAGCCATTCTTTTGTCAGGTTTAGGCAGTGTCCCATCAATGCTACGTGCGCTGCGGGATGAGCAACAGCAGCAATCATCTTTTCTTTCTCAGATTCTTCAGATAGTTCAGTCAACAATAAACGCCAGACTCGCCCAGATTGCTCCCATAGTGTTGACATTACTCCATCATCCGATCCATTTAACCAACCGGGGCATAGAGACAAAACATCAATCGTATCCTGCAGAACAGACAATGTGAATGATTAGAACCATTCTGTCAGAACATTAAAAGTAGAACTTCCTTATCACTCTTTTATAGCCCCAAAAAAGCTTTTGAGACATGAATCTATGACGCAGCATACAATGTTCATGTCTTCATGCTAAGCTCTTAGCTACAAACAAATGAAGCAAAAAGATCATTTTGCCAATATCATCTATTACATGACTTTATTGAACAGTTAATAATAACTAAGATTCCAAATTCTTTCCTCCCTATCTTTGTGAAGGAAACAGTAAAGACGTAGAGGTATCCTGTAATGTCAAGCTCAGATATCCTGCCTTTGTTGATTGCTGAAGGATTTCTGCAACATCAAGGTCCTGTATTTTCTTCATCTCTACATACTGGGGAACACAATCAGCACCCAACCAATCAGCAGCCTCTTGCACCTACAATATAGAGAGTTTTTGAAATTTGTGGACAAAATGGACTCTTAAATGAAACTCAAAAACTTAATAGCACTGTCTCATTTACATAGTTAAACGTTAAGAGTCAGCGAGAGGGGGCAAAGGCAGAGTATGACTTCTTACATATTGACCGAAAGACAATGAAGATATGGTTACTCTGGAGATAAATGTGGCTGTCTCAGCACAGGCATTCTTTGGGCTGCTAACTATGGCACTCACTTTCAGATCAAGAAGAAGCTCTGCAGCTTTTTGGGCCTGTTAAAAACCATTGAATAGATTTAGATAATTTGACTCTCAGCTATTAGTCCACATACCTGCTATCAATCTTATACCTGTATAACCCCAAGCATGTTCATTGGTTGATGACCTAAGTTGGAAAAACTAGCCTGCAACAGAGGTAACAATTAATAATCCCAACATTTAAAAGAGATTTTAACCCAACATGCTGATAGAGTAATACAACAGAATGTAAATAAGTAGAAAAGTTTACCCATCATTCAGATTGCATTCCCTCTCAAATAGGAAATATTTCAAGTTTTTAACACTAAATCAACAAGGCTTCTAGGCATGCTCAAAATTATGCTAGTTCTAAGGACCATTCTCTGCTAGATGATATGAGCCTCAGGCTGCCAAAGAATGTATTGGAATATGAGATCACCATTTCATGCAAGTAATGGTTATGCATATCACACAGTACAAAATACGTGGTAATCTACCAAGCCATTACTC